AAATGGCGCAGCACTTCCATCACTGAAATATTTGCACTAATTAAAGAACTGCGTGAGTGAAGCAAGAAAGTGTAAAGAAGGTGCACTTGTGCACAATGACAAGAATGCGATCCAAAGCTGAAGGAGACTGGTCACGATATCACAGGATCCCAAAACTTTCGCATTATGCCCCCTTTTTCAAAACCTGACTGAAAAAAAAAGTTAAAAAACAACCCCTCAGTTAATAATTCCTCAGGCTTTTAACCTCAAGTATCGTTAACGAGTGACCGTCTCCGGTCTAGCCCAGACACCTGTATCACTTGCTTCACTCATTTTTTGAACTTTTACGTCACAGTGCTCAAAACTTGACTAAAGGCTTGTTCACACTTGTGCAACCGAGTATGACCGAGAGAGACAAGACCGGTTTTAAGCCTCTTACGACATTTTAGGACCGGCTCCGCAGCAGCGCGCCCGGTCCTAAGACGTCGCAAAAGCCTTAAAAACCCGGTCTCATCTCTCCCGGTCGTACTCGGTTGCAAAAGTGTGAACGGGCCTTAAGTCATGTGTTGCCGAGGCTATCCCGTAGGAAAAAAGCTACGGATTCGGTAAAATGCACCACCAAAACAGCCGAGCACATGACAAACAACTTGAAGGAGACCTGGTACTGGTACAGATATAAACTCAAATGATTCATCAGCCCATGGTTGTGATCTTTCCGATTTGAACCATTACTACAAACGTGTAACAATTTTTGCAAAATTGGAAAGCATCAAACTAACTCAGAATAGCAATGAGGAAAACGGTGCGTCCTGAGTAGAAAAGAAAACAGCAAGAAATGGAATTGGGTAGGGTTTCTCTGTTCTCCTACTCAGGGAAGACGGCCTGTGGCATTCAGCATTCAGGGACACTAACTTCCAACGATGCCGGGCGCAGCACTGACGAATACGGATTATGGATTGGACACAAGCTTTCGTCACACTGGTCGGCTTGCTCCCAGTAACAATCAGTCTATCGGTGGACATTCGGGTTTGCTTTCGGGGCAGATTAGTGCGGTGACGGGATTCCCTCAACTTTGGACAATGGCCGCAGCACAGCACGTGCTTTGGGGCACTGCTGCCAACTCAGGTGCAGTGCCGTGATGAACATAGGCAGCACGATGAGACAAACGAACCCGGACAGCTTGCTCAGGTGCCCGTTTTCTCTAAAGCTAGGGTCGCACTGCTTATATATCATAGAAAAGACAGTCTGCGTACAGAGTCGAACGCGCGTCACCACGAGGTCCGTGCTTCTAATGCTGCATGTCCATGAGTTCAAGGAGAAACGTGGCACGCGGCATTCGAATCATGGATATTATGCGTGTTTGCAGACTGTCTTTTGTATGATGGATGAGCAGTGTGACGACGGCTTACCAGTTAGCGTGTGGAACTAAACACGAGCACGTGCCATAAAAATAGAGAACATCAGTGATTATACCTCAGCAGTATTCAGCGAAATGAAGATAAACCTTCATTGTCCCTTAATTTTGTTCAAAACGTTTGTTATATAATAAAATCACCCAAATTTAGTTCAGATATGTCATTTTCTTATCCTCGCAACTAAAATAATGAAGCGGTGCCTACACTTTGGGTTTAATTATTCATGGAAGTCATTGGCCTACAACTGCTCTCAAACAGATTATCACGTACAAAACGGAAGCTTTTACTTCTTACTAGTAATTGTATCATTTTCAAAAGAAAGATAAAAAAAAAAAAAAAACTATACACAATACATGCATCCCGTAGGAACTTCCTAAACCATTAAATAGTATATATGCTTCTCGTCACAAGATGTCCAGGGCAGCAGCCCAGAAAAAAGGCAACCTGGCCGCCCCGGAGCACGACCGTCCAGGGAATCCAGGAAAGTTACTCACATTATTCAAACACCAAATCCTTTTCACCATAATACAATGTAGACCCTTATCAAAAGAAAACACAGAAATTCCAGGAAACAAATTAACTAAATTTCCAGCGAATCCAGGAAGCCCCAGCTACACCCGAAAATGAAAAATACACGTCAACGGGTCAGCGCTTCATGCTGAGGGACAACCAGGAGCTAGCCTTGATGGTGTTCTTCCGCTGACCCAACTCTCTCTTCATGGCCCTCATGACCATGATGAACTCGACGTCCGCGTCCTTGGGCCGAGCCACCTTGGCCAGCAGGCGAACGTTCATGACGGCGAACTTGCTCTGCGGAGCCTGCAGAGACTCGTGGTGAGCGATGCTCTGGACGCTTTTGAGCAGGTGCTCAAGCACCTGAGCCAACTCGGCCGTAGCGTTATGGGGACACCGGATGCCGACCTGCGTGAGCAGCATTATGATGCTCTTGGTGACGTACTTGTACAGCAGGATGAGCACCTCTCGGAAGATCTTCTTGTCCGAACTGGTAGCCCTATCGCGCGGGTACTTTCGAAAGGCGCGCTCGACGGTGGTCTTGGTCCATAGATAGTCGTGACAAACCTGGGTGAGAGCGCTGAAGTGAGATTCGATCATGTGGACTTCGCCCAGACGCTGCAGGAACTTGAGCGTGTCGAGGTCTTCGTCCAGCTTCACTAAGGTCTCCTCCTTGAGGCCATCGAACGTATTGCTGCGTAGAGAGGATTTGTAAGCAGCGTATCTATGAAACCGTGGATATTGGTTTGGCGATATGTGGGGTAACAGCTCGTTAAGCAAGCACTCTAACCCAGTTAGACCTTCATCATCCCGGGATCCTGCTTTTAAAATCAATGACCCGTCTTTCTGAATGTCGGATTTAGCAAGAAAATGGTAGCCTATAAAAGCAACTAGAACAGCCAGTGATGTAGCCGCGAATTGCAATTCGTCGTAGTGGTCGCTTCTTGTAAATACGGTTTGAAATACATATTGGCTGTTGGAAAGGGTCATCCTCTAACCGTCTAACCTGTCATTCTCAACAGGAGGCACATGGCAGCGTACAAACAGCGCGCGATATTACACACTAATCGTAGCCTCCGGCTCTAATAATACGATTGGAATGCCGTATTAAAACGATCTTTGAGTCACGATAGATGTACGATACAATTATTGACTCCCATTTCTTGTATCAGGCAGTTTGGATTATGAACGTGACATTAATTCTGGTGTTCGAGCTTGATATACAGTGTCGTGTATAGACACATTAAAGGGTGAACCACAGCGTTCTGTAAACATCCGATATCGCAAATATGCTCACCTTTTGGTAGCGTGCTTGTTCAGCGTAAGCTTTGTAAACATAATAACTTTAAACAAAACTTATTCAACTACCGTTTAAAAATCCCAGGAACAATAATATACGAATTGTCATTGTTTCCCTAGTGCAGATCTGAAGCCTAATGAAGCTTCTGCAGAGGTAATAGAGAGGTTGAGGCGAGGGATCGTTATGGGTTGACATGGATAGAGCTACTTGTTGGCGCGGCCTGGCTTCCCATACCACCCTAAAGCCCCTTGTTAAAGGCGTTTTTTACAAGTACCGCCAACCATTGTAGTGGAAACGCCCGCGACACGTGCCACGAGCGAATGCCCCGCCGCCATTCGCTTCCAAGGGCCGCCCATTTCTGTGGTGCGCCGCCATATGCTTCCAAGGGCCGCTCGAGACACGGGCCTTGTGCACGTGCACTGGCGCATTTGACGCTACTTGCAAGACGAACGGAAACACATCGAGGGGCTTTACCTCCTCCCACTCCTACAGTGTTTGTATTGTTTCCGGAAGTTGATGCCACTTACAAAATAGATTAAAAAAAAAAGATTATTCTTGATTATTAGTTTTAATGCGAATTTAACATATACAAGCAGTCTAGCTATATACAGCAACTCAATAAGTCCCGTTCCCACATTTTATTTTATAGAAACAGATTAATTTCTGAGCTGCAGTGTGCTTATCTTTTGCCACAGGAACATATTTTTATATATTCAAGAGACAGAAAGAAAAAAAAAAAATATATATATATATATATATTGGCTTAGAGTTCTTGTTGTTTAGATACACATCATCAAAAAGAGAAGAAAGAAGACAGCTTCACGAGAATTCAGTTCTATCTACTGATGCCATGGAACCAAAACAGAACCATCCACCGTCGGAAATCAAGGAACAGGTAGAGATACGACCTCAGAGACCAAAGAGTAAGACCACCAGAGGAATCAGGAGCAGGGGGAGTTCTTCGTTAACGGAAAGACCTCACAGCAAGTTCTACTACTTCTGGTACTTTGCTAACACCATCTGGGCAGTGCTGGCGTTTCCGCTGGGACTCAGCGCCATTTCGTTCGTTCGAAGTCACAGAAAGCAAAACGTCACCACAACACCCTCACCAGTAGCTATAGAGCCCGTTGCATCCGCTCAAACCAGAACCAGACTGCTAGCTGCCGGTCCAAAAACTCTTGGCTTTCGAAAGTCGAAGAACGTTGAAATGGGTCAGTCAGTAAAGAGCTGCAACAGGGAACGATTGCCTCTGAACAAAACTTGGAGGCCACCCTTCACAGATTTTGTAGAAGATTATCCTTACGTGGAGCCTGTCAAGGGGCCCGTGTTCTGCGTCTTCAACCACAGCAGCTACAAGCGGCACCAGGACTGGGCCTTCCGCACGGGCTACATCAACGGACATCTTTGCACGCATGTCATCTACGCGTCGGCGATGATCTCCGAGGACGAACTTGTCAGCGCTGACCCGGCATTCGACATAGTCAAGGAGGGATTCAGAAACCTGGCCCTTCTTAAGTCCAGGTACGCGCACTTGAAGGTTCTAGTGTCCTTCGGTGAGTACGAGAGGGACACTGCAATTCTGAGCCTGTTGACGTCATCTCCGACGAGGCGAACTGCGTTTGCGCTAAACGTGCGGGCGTGGCTCAATGAATACGACTACGACGGAGTCAACGTGCACTGGATGCACCCCGCAGGTCGGTGTGGATCTTCCGAAGATTCACCAAGTTTGGTGAAAATGGTCGAAAAGCTAAGGTCTGTCATGGACAAAAACTACACTATCTCTTTAACTTTTACGTCTTCGGCAACTCTACGCAAACGAGGCTACGATTTGCGCGGCTTTGTTCACGCTGTCGACCACTTCATCGTACAAACACATGACCTGTACGACTCAACCTCAGCTACGGTACACTGTGCCTGTCCATACTCGAATGGCGAGTGGTCCTTATCACGCGTTCTCGCCGAAGTGACAACCGAACTTAAGGAAGTCGCTGCGACGAAACTTTGCTTCGGTGTCTCTTTGGGCGGGATTTCATTCCGTATACGCGGGATCTCTTCCGCGCAAGGTTCCAGACAGAAGTTCGATAAGGAGTACGGTGTTGGGATGGAGGGAGAATACACTCGCACGAGGGGCAGACTGGCCTTTTACGAAGCCTGTTCGATGAAAAACGTTGAGTCGTTCCTGGACTTCAGGGAACTGTGCTCCTTCATGGTGCGAGAGCATCACTGGATCGGATACGAGACTCCCCTTTCGCTCGCTTCAAAATTGTCCGAGGTGTTTCGGAAGTTCGGCGTCTCCTGCGTCGCGGTGTGGGACATCGACATGGACGACTTTAAGGGAGCCTGCAAGCTTGGACAGACACCTTTGCTCAGCGCTGTCAACAGAGAAGTCGCAAATGCAGCATAAATTGCAAGAGGGTCGGATTATTCATGGATTAAGGGAGTGTCTTCCTGGACTGCCAAAAATGGCACGCTTCTAGTACAAGGCGAATTTGGGAACCGGATATGTCGTTTTCAGTCTAATTCAGTCGCTTTCAAGCGTATCAAGTGCTTTTTAGCGTTAAAGATATGGGGATCGCGTACGCGCTTGCCCCTCCAAACGACTTCTAAATAACGTTAGCAGACCTTTACCGCTTGACGGGAGCTCGAAAACCTTGGAAAGAAGCTGAAAAGTTCACAAAACGAGTCAGGTTTCGCGAGTTTTGAAATAATCCAAATAAACCGGGCTTCCCTTATTGACGGGAACCCTATAAAGGATCGATGGAGACGAGGCCATCTTTTGCAGCGAAAGCGGTTCGATTCCTATTACAATAATAGTAGCAGAAAATGGTAATGCGGTTAATGCGCTGCATTTTTTAAATTATTTTTTAGAAGGTTGTTTCATTGACCGAAATATGTTTTTATGTGAGAAATATTGTGTTTATACCTGACTAAAGAGTTTTAGTTTAGAATGCGCTGTCGATTGTGGGCCCTCTGGGCGCGAGCACAATCGTTCTTCGAAGCAGGAGTGGGCAATATTTCAAGTAAAGCTAACAATACAACTCTGGGGTCTATCCAAACAGACTAGTCGTTATTGGGGTACGTTTCGGGGGGATCGGTGGCCGAGTGGTCTAGCGCACACCAGCTCGGAGCACGTGGAGCGAAAGCTCGCGCTGCAGAACCCAGGGATCCTGGGTTCGAGCCCCACCCCTGCCCGTTTCGATCTGGATGAGCATCGTACCGGCGTGCGGTCGTGTATCACTACTGCGTGAAGCACGTTAAAGACCCCAGGCTAGCGGCTGTACCGCACTGGCTAAATTTCTCATCTACAGCTGGGAGACTCGTCGCCCCTGTGAGGCAGACCAAGTTCTAGGCTGTATAAACACACACACAACCCAATTTTTTTTTTTGGGGTACGTTTCAGCCGTGGGGACAACAAACCATATTTTATTGTTTGTTTTTGATCCGAGAAATCAAAGATGACGATTCGAAGGCCGCTCCTCGTGCAACCAAAGCACTGGTCAGAGCGAAGCGCTCGCGCCCAGACCGTGCTAAGCGAGGTTCAATTTCTTTGTTGTTCTGTGTTGGTAAACACCGGGCGGTGGGGACAGCAAGTTTAACAGCAAGCTCGATAAAGCTATAAGGCTGGTTCACACTGCCCAATTTTCTTACGTTAAGTTACGTTACGAAATATGACGTTGAAGTCACCGGGACCTTTGTGCTTCATATTAAGCGAGGCTACCAGTTCAAGGAGAAAGCATGACACGCAACATTCGAGACACGAAAGTTTCGGTGAATTATACGTGACGTAACTTAACGTAAGAAAATGGGGCAGTGTGAATGAGCCTATAGGAGGTATACCCTCCGGGCGGCCACTCCGGCGCCACCGTCGCTTGCGCTCCGCAGCGCCGCCCGTGGTCGACCTAAGAACGACTGGTATGTTCCCATCTGAAAATGGCGGCTCGCACGTGAGATCCGACGGTGCTCTTTTGCGGCTTCAGAAGGATTGACGAGATCGCAGAATATTTCAAAGAAAAGTCACTGAAGTTAGGGGAGCAACTTTATGCGGGCCGCCACGTGTTTGGTGTGAAAGAAGAAGTCCTTCATTCCACAGCTCCCAGCGAAGTTGTAGGGAAATGCCTCGCGCAGATGAAGTCTGCTGTTTACAACGTCCGGCTTCAGGTGAGCGTGCCACCCGGTTCGGTTTCACGTACCCCCCCCCCCCCCCCCCCCCCCCCTCCACTCCTCATTTGTTGTTGTTCTGATTTCTCGGTTCAACGGTGCATAACACACATTTTTTTTATTTTTTTTTTGCTACGGCAGCTTTCAGCGCACCCGAGACTCATCGTGGGCGCGAGCTGCACTTGCAAGGCTGGCGTGCGTGGGTGGTGCAAACATGGAGCAGTGTGTCTCTGTCGTCACATTGCATATCTTTGCAGTTGTGTCTCCGTCGTCACATTGCATCTCGCCTTGTACGACGAAGGGAAGATCGTGGGGATGTAAGCGGGGTGCTGAGCGATGGAGCTTTTTTTGTTTCCTACGAAGTGGCAGCTGCAAATCCTGGCCTGCCCATTCGCGGGTTCCCAGGAGTCTCCGTCTCCGCTGTACACAAAAATGCAGTGTCTAACTGTGCCAGCGAGAAACAATTCTGTATCATGGAGAGCAAACAAAAAACCGAGAAGCGACAACAAAACAAAAAAAAAAAAAAAAGGTTTCCTTAGTTAGGGGAGATGGGTTGCAGCGGTGCGGCGCGCAACGCGCCGCACCGCTGCAACCCATTTCCGTCGACGCTCTGCCTCGTACGGCTTTGCTGGAAAGCGGTAAAACTCTACCACTGGGAGCTTCCCAGCTGTGTTTCCGTAGCTGTTGTGGCAGTCGTAAACACAGCAATAAACAGAAGTGCGCTTTTTCGACTGCGTTGTTGCGGACGACATAACGAAAGCAGCCGGGTACGCCTGCACTTTACGCCTGGCAAGCCTAACGCGAAAGCAGTCGGGAAGGGCGGTAACCGCGGTAACATACCAATAGTTTTTATTTCGACGGACAGATGGCACCACGGGTTTTTTCAAAACACCAGCGCCCGGAGCGTATTACGCCATATTTGAGGGCGATGTTTAGAGCGCATGCTCAGAACGAACTCACATTAATTACCTGCTAAGACCGGCAACCTTGATGGTGCTAAGTGCGCGCTCCAAAAGGACTGCGGAAGCTCGCCGTCAGCACGCGCTCAGCAGCAGCGCACGCGAATATGGCCGCCAGTGAATACTCCCTATAGTTCAATCTCCTGCCCAATAATTGTTTAGGCAGCGGGAGTTTAGTATGTAGCAAGTACGATATTCTCATTTGCTAACAAATCGTATATTTACATTATTTACAAAAGAGTCGAAATCTAAAGATCGTGGAACGTGGACTGCGTAGCCAATACCACCTAGAACACAAGGCCTGCGCGTTTCCTCCTCTAAACGTAATCACTAGTAGATCCCCTCAGCGCCCCCTAGCTAGCCCGGATGAGCAACATCGTCTGCTACATCGTCTGCTCCGTCGCCTGCTTCAGTGGTTTGTGTAACAGATAATGAAACAGATGCTCGCGCCGAGTGTCTCTCGCAAATTACATACGATGAAGTTAGACGTTCACGTGGAGCGTCAAATGCATGAGCGAAATTGCCTTACTGCTGCGCGAAGGGCTGAAAAGCCCTTCGTTGGACGCTGGACGCTGACACTGGACGCCATTTTCGAGGGCGCTGTTTATACCTCGGGTAGCTGCTTCGAAGCGTTCTACCGCAGAACGAGCGCCCGCGCTAGAGATGCGCGTCTCAAAGCCAGGAGCGCGTGCTAGCTCGCGCTCCTGGCCGAGGGAGCATTCGCGTGCACGTCGCAAATGCACTGGAAGCTCGCCATCAGCTCGCGCTCAGCAGTCACGCACACAGCTGCGGCCGCAAGTGAATGCGACGTAGTTGCGACGCGGCCCCTACTCTCGTCAAGCTTCGGGGTGTTTGCCGCATGGGGCGGGTCGGGGATCTACTAACGAAACGTCATGCGCAGGCCTTGTCTTCTAGGTGGTATTGGCGTAGCCCTTCGCCTTGTCATCTCGAGCCCCCGCGTGCAAGTGATGGTGTTTTTCTCGAGCTGGTGTTCTTCGTCTTCTTTACTCGCTGTAGCGTGCCGCTACAGGTACTCCCCCCCCCCCCCCCCCCCCCCAGCGAGGAGGTGGAGGAGACGAGCGATCAGGTGCTCCTTTGAAGTGTACGCGTCGTACTAGGGTTGGAGTCGTGTGTGCTTGGGGTTGCTCGAGATGAGCTGGTTTTATCCTGCCGAGTGAAATTGTATCTTCACGTCCTTTCACGAGCACGGTGAAGTACTTGTCGCCGTGTTTTAGAACTTTAAATGGTCCTTCATATCGGTTCTGCAGCGGTCGCTTCACGGCGTCTGTGCGTATGAACACGTGGGTGCAGCGTGACAGTTCCGGGCTGAGGAACACCTTGCGAGAGTTCCGCTGTCGTGTGGGCACAGGTCGTAGTTTCTCGAATGAGGAACGTAGACGGCTTGCGTAGTCCTCTGCTGTGGTGGTTTCGGTGTTGGTGGTAGGTGTTAGAAACTCACCAGGGATGCGTAGAGGCGTGCCGTACACCATTTCTGCTGTACTGCATCCCAGGTCACTTTTTAGGGACGTGCGTATTCCAAGCATGACGAGTGGTAGAGTTTCCGTCCAAGGCGCGGCTGTACCTTTCGTCTTCAAACTGGCCTTTAGCTGTCTGTGAAACCGTTCCACCATTCCGTTGGAGATGGGGTGATAGGATGTAGTGTGAATATGCTTTGTACCTAGGATCCGCGAGAGGTTCTGGAACAGTGTAGACTCGAATTGTCTCCCTCGGTCTGTTGTGATGGAGGTTGGTGTTCCAAAACGGCTGACCCACATGCTGACGAAGGCCCGTGCTACGGCTTCTGCTGCTATCGATTTGATCGGTGTTGCTTCAGGCCACCTCGTGAAGCGGTCGATGCAGGTCAAAACGTACCGGCAATCGTCGGCTGGCGGGAGTGGTCCCACTATGTCGAGGTGGATGTCGCTGAAACGACCATCGGGAGGTGAAAACTTGCCGAGTGGTGTAGTCGTGTGCCGACCCACTTTCGCGCGCTGGCATTGCACGCACGTGCGTGTCCAATTGCGGATGTCGGCGTTGATCTTAGGCCAGATGAATCGAGCAGTTATGAGATGTTGTGTGGCTCGAATTCCTGGGTGTGAAAGTGAGTGGATTGCTTCAAAAATAGGCTTCCGGAACTTCTCGGGGACATATGGTCTTGGTTGTCCTGTCGACACATCGCAGACCAATGTTGCTTTGCATTCCGGAATCCTTATGTCTTGTAGGTACAGTGACGTTGTTTCCCGCAGATGTGGTAGTGTTGTATCCGTGCTCTGCGCTGCTGCTAGTT